ATGTTAATACATTATTTGAAATATGTCATATACGAACAAACATAAACCGGTGAATAGATATGAGCGTTGGTGGCTCGGGGGTTAAACACTTGATTTGCAATCTGCTGATACTGGGTTCGAATCCCGAAATGTTCCAATGAGTTTTTAGATTTACATATGTACATTTATCCTACGTTCTTACGGTGAAAGAAAATATAATAATGTAATCTGCATACTGCCAAGAATTTCAAAGATATGTGTGAAGTCAATCCGTACCTGGCCAGCATGGTTTACTATGGCCTAGTCACCCCTAATTTAGGGTAGGCTCCGAGCCCGTCAGTGGGGATGTATAGTGAGCTGACGACATACGTTACATCTAAATTGAGGAGTTTAAGAAATCTCAAACTTCTCCGTGCATCTGAGAAAAGTTGGTAGAATTTTACAGTTGAATTAATGTTTTTTTTTCTTTCATTTTAATGTCATTAATAATTTTATTTTTTTGTTCGTACATTACTAAAGACATATTGGAACATTATGAGAAATATACAAATATTATCCTTGCTTTACAATCATACAATTTAAATTAAATTTAGTACTACGAACGATACAATGTAAAACCGGTGTATTTTAGTTAGAACATTTTAAATTCATTGATCAAATCGCTTGCAGTCGCATTAATATCGTATTTGCCGACTAATATCAGTTTGATTGGTGTTTCATTGCATCTGCTCCGATTCCAAGCATGGCATGTAATTTGTGTACATTAGCCGTATCTATAGTTAAAATGAAAAAAATGATGTCTTTATTCACGCGTGTAATTTATGATACGTGACAGCTTGAAGGCGTCACTCGTAAATTAAATGGGGTTCGAACTTAATGACTACCTTTATAGTAAGGTTTTCGTGTAATGACGTGTATAGAAAAATCCTTGTCTAGGTTATAGGTTAAACTAGAATCTAGACTAGAACTGTGTAATTTGAAAGCAATGTACACCCACTTAAGTAGTATAGGGTGTTTTAAATTAAAAGGAAACGCTATTTTTATTTAATAAAGTAGTTTGTGTAGGTGTAAATTAGCTTTTTAAAACCGCAGTATAATCGAGACTAATGCAGCCCTTAGGTTACTTAGTAACTTAGAAAGATACAACTTAATACTATGTGTCATTTGACACTTTAAAAAGCCTTTAATTTTCTTGTATATAATGACTACTGAAGTAAATTCAAAGCTGCAAATGATTCATTATTTACCCACAATTAATGTTTATTTATTAATCATGTGCTTGTGTGTACTGTTAGGAAGAAAATCCGAAAACATACCAATGTATTGACGCAACACTAGCCTTACTAAAATGTCGAAGTTTATGTCCCCTCACTATTCATTCTTACACAATTATGTAAATGTCGAAATATTACTTATTAGTTAACAATATATAAAAGAAATATTTAAAAAGTTAATCGACATCACAGGGGACTGAAGAGCTGGCAGCTAACTCGGACAAAGAATAAGTATAGTTATCCAAAGGGGGAAAGCTGCCAGTATCTTCGGAACCTTCCCTAAAGGGACTCCTTTTAATAATATATTTTAGTTTTTAATGATTTATTTAATATCATAGATTTAAAACTTTTTATATAAAACATAATATTGCTCCTTGTTTCTGTTAACATGTATCTACAGTTAAAAATTACGTTTAGAAATATCAGTATTTATCCATCGCAGTATGGAATATATCCATTTGATATTCAGATATACTATCGTCGTAGCAATCTTTGCCTGTAGTGTTATGATATCGTAAAACATTTATTATTTATACGATTTTTACTATTCTGAAACCATTCGAACACAGCAATGCACTTTCAAATATATCCTTGAAACGTTGCTGCTTATAAAAGTCGACGCAATTGGTTTCACAATACGATGACATAGCTTCATATCTGAAATATAAGATTTAAATATAAAATTCTATATTATTGCTATACATTTTGATAATAGTTACTGATGTAAAATATATATACCATAGTTAATACGACAGCTGAGAGAGATATGCTGAAATACGCAATATTTTGTTCAAAATGTTAGTTATGAACTTTATTATATTAAAAGCAAAATTAATATCCATGTAAAAGATACATGGATAGATGGATGGATGTTTGTTTGAAAGTATCTCCAGAACGGCTGAACGGATCTTGATGAAATTTGGTAAACATATAGAAAATAGTCTGGAAGGATACATAAGGCAATAATTAAGTATTTTTCAACCCCGTGCAAACGTATTCGCGGGCGACAGCTAGTGTTACATATTTATTAAAATCTTATTTTCAAAACCACAAAAGTTAAAAACCAAGTATATAATGTACATTACATATATGATTCCCACAGCCTTATACTTTTAGTATAAATTCTCGTCAAAAATAAAAGAAAATTGGAATACCAGGTGCATGAAAATATTCTTCTAATAATGGTTATAACATTGGAAACACCTGGCCTGCAATCTACATTGCTTCCGTCGAGCAAAATGAAGTGCAGATCGACAGAGGAAAATCCAGTTAAGAATATATTCGAACTAATGAAAATTTTATATAGATCATATTAATATAAAAATTATATTAAATACAATACAGGTAAAAGTTGAAGAAAAACATTCTTCTATTATTTGTAATTTATTAAAAATAATGAATATATTTACTCTCTTTATACATTTATCTCAAAGTTACTGTAATACCTCAGAATTTTTAATTTACTAGCTGTCGCCCGCGACTCCATCCGTACGGAATTAAATAACTTAACTAGTAGCCTATGTATCTTCCAGACTATCTGAAAGATACCATATTATCTTTAATATGGTATTATAATTAAACAAAGCAACGCTCGAGATAATCTTGTAATCTAATCTTTTTAAAAACAAAAAGGCTTTTAATTAAAAGATATCAAACGGTAATGGATAAACCGGAGTGATGTTAATTAATGATGTAACAGATTAATAACGGGCGCGAGTCAAACAGCAAGTAAATGTAAGAACGCGGGGGAGGCAAAATGAAGATGTCACGACGTAATCGGATGGTCGGTCGCCCCAGACAAGACGTTGATAAATAGTCGTCAATGCTGAGATAAGACTGTGGTCCAAGGGATGAGCGGATAGCGTTTGTGATATAAAACAAATTAGTAAAAAAAATATTGGGAGAGACTAGTTTGGTCCCATCGGGGTTCATTTTTTTTTGCTTTTAATGCTTCATCTTTCATTGCTTGCCATCACCGGATGATCATACGTGAGTTAGACCATTTTCAATTAATTTATTATTACGTCTCATCAAAATTTAAATTGGCAACAAACTTAATATGTATTTAATTATTTCTAATAATATAAATAAACGTACAAGCAAAGTAACTTTCCCAACTTCCACATATGTGTTGTTTAAAATAACCTTAAACGATTAATACATCAATTTATTAAAAAAATAAATATATTTATTTAATGCTTAGATTTGTGTAAGTATACTTTGAATATAAAATTTTATAATTTTTTATCAATTCTTTTTTTATTTAGAAACCTGTAACATAAGAATCTTTTCTGTCTCAACTAAATAAATTAATTGTTCTAAATCGCTTCCCGCTCGTCATTTGGACTTTGACATTACTTCAAGACGATGTCTGGATTACTAATAGGCTTAACAATGATTTTACTGCGTACACTTAAATTAATTGATTGAGATACAAATTTTTCTTTGTGTTATTGTTCCTACACAACATGACTGGATTAATTTGTAACCCCAACATGGTCAGTTTAATATGTATTAGCTGCAATCACATCTATAGTGTTATTAAAATTAATTATAATTTACTTTGAAGTCAAATACTTATGTACTTCAAGAAACTTAAAACGTAACTCTTACGGAAAGTAGAAAACTAAATATAAAATTACACCGTTCCTTTCCAACCCTAACAGTACCTGCGTAGAGGGTACTTTGAATAATTGAAATACTTGTAAAGATGCAGAGGGTAGTTTCATATAGGTCAGTAGCGTCGTGTACATGTTCTAAAGGGTGCAAAGAGGGTTGGGGCGTTAAAGATGTAACACCTAGGCAGTTGATGTGGGCACTTTTGTAGCACTGCTACGATGTTCGTAGCAGCTCGTAGCTTAGTTATTTATACATTTTTTTATGTGCTACGCCGGATGAATTCATGCTACATATTAACTTTTTAATTAAAATGTCAAAGGCGATTAATTAAAAAGGAATTCATTTGTAGAATTTAATAATTTTCTTATTTATTTGTGAAAAGGCCAATGACACATTTCATAAAACACTCAACGAGACACACAAGCTAAAAAGAGAAGGAGAGAGAGAAGAGAAAGAAATAAACAATATAATTTCAGCTTATTTCCGGCACATTTGTATCAAAAAAATAAAGTCATTAAAATTAAAAGGTCTGTATTATTTTTAAGCGACGCATAATCAGCCAGACCCGGGGTGTTATGCTAAACGAAAAAACAAAAAGCGAGACAATATTTATATCCCGCATGTCCCATTGAACATTCAAAAACGAGGCCTCAAATGAATGCAAATTTACTTGGCCGTTTAAAAAAATATATTAGCATAAATGCGTAATTCAAAACGTTTAGACTTGTAATAAAATCCATTAGTAAAACCGTTTAAGGTAAAGTCAATTTTAACGATTCTTTAACATTTTTATTTTAATATTTTCCTTATTCTTCAAAGTATGGAAATATATTTTTTAATATATAAATTCCTTTTTTCTACGCAAGTATTCCAAACGTCTAAATATGTCACTTAGTTTCAAGAACTAGGCCATAAAATAGCTTATCTTTCTAATATTTTATCATGCCTTACGACTTAGGAATTTAACACATTTTTTTGCGATTGAAGCATTGCAGTAAAATTAAAATATTTGACTTTATTATTTTATGATTTTTTATGAATATGGAAATAATTTAAATAGTTTTTACCGAAGAACAAATATAAATATTTCCTTCGGAAAATTTCTTTACTTTTCATTTAACCTTAACGTTAACAAAATGTTTTACTTTTTTGTTCTATTAACCGTCGTTGCGGCGTTTGATATCGAAATTCATAACAAATATGAAACATTAGAACGATCTGAATTCGTGGAATATTTCAATAGTTTAAATCTAACGTATAAAATAGGCGTTGAAAGTTTGAGCTCTGATCATAAACATTGCACGTTTATGAACCATGATATTAATCTTCCAACGATCACTCATGATGTCAGTTTCATGGCATTACCTGAGTCATTCGATGCTAGAGAAAAATGGTCGAATTGTCCTTCAATTAGAAAGATATACTTCCAAAATATTTGCGGATCTTGTTGGATGTTTGGCACCGCATCCACAGCAACTGATCGAAACTGTATCCACGCGAATAATTTCAAAGATCTATCTGAACAGGATTTAAGTTGCTGCACCGATTGCTATGAAAATTTATGTTCTGGTGGCAACCCTACAAAAGCCTTTGAATTCTGGATCAATTACGGCCTCGTAAGTTATGATTGCCAACCCTACAACTATTACCCATTAATGAAACATAGATATTGCAGCCAAACATGCGTAAATGGTGTTAATTATTATCAGGATAAAAACTACGGTGGTCGTGTTTATAAAGTACCATCTGATGAACATCAAATTAAAGCTGAACTTGTGACCAACGGACCTATTGAAGCAACTTTTGTTATTTACGATGATATTATGGATTATACACATGGAGTTTACGTACATAAGTACGGTGAGAATCGGGGCTATCACAGTGTTCGAATCATTGGTTACGGAGAAGAAGAAGGTGTGAAGTATTGGCTTATAGCCAACAGTTGGGGCAGAACAAGGGGATTAAACGGAATATACAAAATCAAGCAGTTCCAACCAGAAATACAAATGGAAGACTGGTTACTTGCACCCATGCCGAAAGGTTTTTAAAGCTTTTCTTTGTTTTCAGTTAGTGAAAATATCTTATCAACCCTATGTGCTGTGTAATAAGTCGTGTATTTCCGTAATACCACAATACTAACACACAATAATAAATAATTAAAATATACAAAAGAAATCAAATAATATTATTTCATCTTACTTTAATATTATAAATGCGAATGTTTAGATGGATGGAGGGATGTTTGCAGGTATCTCCGGAACAGCTGCATGGATTTTGCTGAAACTTGGCATATATATATATATATATATATAGAACATAGTGTGGAAGAATACAATACTTATTACGTTCTTTTTTTAATTGCGCGCGGACGCAGTCGCGGGCGACAGCTAGTTTTACTTTACTACTGATATTAGTAGAAAAAGTTGATACTCAATTTATCATTCCTAACTTCTGTGTCTTCCTTTTCTTGATTATTATTTATTACTAGCTGTCGCACGCGACTCCGTCCGCGCCTAATTAAAAAAACATAATTATTAGCCTATGTGTTCTTAATGACTATGTTCTACATCTATTCCAGGTTAGCAAGAAAAAGAAATAGGCTGTTTTTAGGGTTTTCACGCCAATTAATCGAATTTTTCTCACCTTCCTCATCCCTTAATCTCCACGAACATTTCAAAACCAAGATAAGATAAATCCGTTCAGCCGTTTTCGAGTTTTAGCGAGATTAATGAACAGCAATTGATTTTTATATATATAGATTATTTAATATATAACATCGCGCGATAACCTTCATAATTTACTAGAATATTCTTAAAGAAATACATGTTAGAATCAATGTATATTTATAAGGGTAATAAAACTTTTCTCTGCGGAAAATTTTCTCTCGAGAATACATTAAATTAAAATGTACACGTGCTGTGTGGGAGCTCTTTGTTGCATAGCCTTGCTTGAATGTCAAGGATTACAAGGGTTTGTTCTTTATTTGACTACAAGTTAGAAAAACAATTGAAAGATAATTCTTTTTGAGAATTTAAGTTACATATATTTTCTTTTTTTTTGACATTAGCAGTAAACTGTTGCTGTCGCGAATCCGACCGCGAGGAATCGAAAAATAACTTAATTAGTAGCCAATGTGTTCTAAACTATGTTCTACATCTTAACCAAATTACATCGAGATTCATTGAGATGAGTTTTGAAGATACCTTCTAACAAATATCCATCCATCCATCCATATAAACAATCATATTTATAATATTAGTAAGAAGTAATATTATGTCATCATCATCAGCTCACTATACGTCCCCACCGAGGGACTCGGAGCCTAGGGTAGGCTCCGAGCCCCTCAGTGGGGACGTATAGTGAGCTGATGATGATATGTTATCAATAACTCGATATATTTCACCAATTGTTAGCAATGAAATCCTTATTTTAAATTGAATTAAAAAAAAGATATTTTTTTTATCAAGAGCGCCTAGAGAGTTCGAATCCCACCATTCGACTATTGTCGTAAACCATATCCTATCAAGTTTTTTTTTAATTAACAAATATTTGTTAATATTTTAATTTTAAAAAATATCTAGAAGTCACAATAGGAACAAACTATTCCCAATGCCAAAGCCAATGTCAAGGGCAAGGTCTCGCAGTGTGATCTTAGATATCCATTTAGACGAGAATAGTTCAAGGTTTATCTTTACGACTACCAAGGGATGGAAAATTTATGAAAGACTTCTCGGAAAATGAAAGAGAAATTACGTATAACTTTGACCTTGTATGTTAGATATTTTACAGCTGTGTAATTTTCTTATGCGAGTGGATCCAGAAATTGAAAAAGCGAATGAATGAAGTGAGATTTAAGAGATTAATTTTACTAAAACGTACAATTTTGTTAGGGTAAAAGACTTAGTTATGGACCAGGCGTAATAACTACTGCTTTTTTTTTACAAAAAAATGCGAAAGCTTCACATGTATTTTTCATCTATTCTGTTGCATATTCAGGGTTATACCAACCCCTTTTTGGCTTTGTCAATTGACATATTTTCCTCGTTCACTTTTTTCCGAGCAACCCGTTATCTGGACGCATTAACAAAATTACACAGAGCCCTTAACAAATGGAAGCGTCCAGCCCACAACGATGCAGACGCCCTAATGTCTGCCCATCAGCTCCCTAAATGACAACGTCACCTGCCAATTACAAATAAACAAAACACGATCCAAACTACATTCGTCCCACATTGCTGCTTCACTTGACTAACTTACAAGTATTTCCGTTGCTAGCGAGCAATGTATAACGAATTTGAAGTTATTCTGGTATTATCTTCTTTTCATGGTACAAGTTTTGTGTTCAGGAATTATGGGCCAAATCCATCTCTGGATTCAATGACGTCATTCTGCATCGCAATGACAGGGCGGCGAAAGGGCGAGCGCCATAGGTATTGTTTATACAGTTTTGTGTTACAGTCACTTAAACAAATCATTCATTTGAATAAAGATCTAGAGTGATTAGTAATAATAATTTAAACAATATTGATATGTTATAATAGTTACTGGCACGTATTAATTGATAGAATAGAAATCTTTTTAAGGTATTTGTTACTTTAATCTGGTAAAGCAAACATACCTTTGCAGGTAATATCGTTTTTACAGTGAGATTTCTTTAGAGTCGTAAGCTCATTTATGTCCGTACCAGGGCGGAGTTTATCTGAGTCAGGGTGACTAGGTATAGTCAACCACGCCGGCCCAGTTCTTGTTGACTTCACACATATCTTTGAATGTGCCAGCATGTGTAGATTACATCACGATGTTTTGCTTCAACGTAAGAAAGTCTAATAAAAGTACATATGAAATTAGAAAAATCGAAAAACCCAGTGGTACTTCGCGGGGATCGAACCTGGACGTGTAAATTTCGATCCGTTACGGTTAAACACTTAACAATTGCGTCACCGACGCTTTATCTACGACTTCTTTATCGTAATCATTTTAATTAAATTTTATTATATGGACACTTTAAAGAGTGACCAAACAAAATATATTCTCTACAACACAATGGAATGTGCCAATACTGACGTACCGACGAAATTGCAGAATTGAACTGCGTTGCAACACGCTTCGGACAAATGAATTTCAACATGCGGATATACAACACCATTAGATGGAAGCAATATAACGTCGATCTACATGTTTTATAACAATATTCTCATTTCAGAAGACAACAACACAAATGGACATAGGAAAATATTATAGAGTTTTAGACATTATTAGTTAAAATTCTTTAGCACGAATGGCGCGCTTTCGTTACAAACTGAAGTATTAGAATAATTAGTGAGGGGACATAAACGTTGACATTTCAGTAAGGCTAGTGTTGCCCCAGTACACCGGCACAGTGTCGGATTTTAACCTAACAATAGTTATTATTAAATACACAAGAAATTGTTAAACTGAGTCTAATGGTTATCAAAAACCTTTGTCTAATCGCTAAGCTAAGAATCCTTCCGGGCTGAATTAATATAAGTATCACATGTGTTTTTTCAGACTATGTTCTACATCTATGCCCCCGCAGCGAGATCTATGCAGCAGTTGTGGAGATACCTTCTGAAAACATATTTCCATTCACCCAAACTTTCGCATATATAATATTAGTATGATACATTTTTAAACATATAGAGCAATGCTCTTATAAGTTTCAAGAGGTACTCTACACTTTAGACATGTATTTCATCCTGATTCTCGGTAAATGAGCGATCACGTATGCGAACACACGACCTCTTCTTTCTAGTGCTTTTATCTTTTACGACAGAGTTGCTTGAAATATGCACTAAGCGTACAATAATGTTTCAATGAAACGTGTTCAAATCTTACTTATCTTATATATAAAAATTGCCGAAACGGCTTGACCGATTCTCATGAAATTTTGTGAGCATATTGAGTAGGTCTGAGAATCGGCCATCATCTATTTATAATCCCGCGCGGACGAAGTCGCGGGGGTACACTACTACTTGTATAAATATTTAGTTTATTATATTAGTTATTAATTTATTAGTTATGCTTACGGATAAATTAAACGTGGGTTACTCAGACCAACATCCTCGTTGACAATTTATTGTTATCTCCGTTTTGTCAAATATAATAAGAGGGATGGCGATATGGTATACAGAGATTTTCATTTCAGAAACCCACGGTTTATGATGTAAATACAATATATATTTGAGTCGAATAGAAATATGTTTTTACTCACGTTAGGTTTGTTATAGAATGTTTATTTATAGATATTTATGATAAACACATTTGCCTATTCCACATAACCCTTGCATACTCTACTCCGCCGCGTGAGCTCGCATGTTTTAATTCAGGACGCACACATACACACTGACCTAGTTATTCCCCATTTTTCTGTAATTACTCACCACTGCTTTGTCGACTTCCCCTATAGGGGAGTACTTATAGTGGGTGCGATCACGAAAAGTTTGGACTTTCTCAAAAATATCCATTTCTTAAAGTCCACACTCACAGTACCTTTTAACTACGTCATATTTTGGCAATAACCAATATAATTACCATCTTTAATTATTAAGAAAACTTGTAACCGCTTAAAAGTGATAATAATTTTGTCTTTTGAATGCTTTTAACTGTTGAAACTAGGCCTGCTTTGACCAAATGGTAACCAAAAGCTCTTTTCAATATAAATGTGTCAATTTTAAAGCTAGAAAATACAATATAAAAATTGACAATAAAGTTATCTTACTTTTCTTGAATTTTCAGTACATTCAGATGAAATTAATTTTTTAATAATTATAGTTACGAAAAGTAGAATAAGTCTATAATGTTTGTGGTCATTACGTACAAAATAACAGTACTATATGGTTCATCCCCGTCACCTCTATACCTACATTACTCTATGGAACATACATATATACATAGCGATGCACTTCGGGGTCTTTGACAATATAATGCAAGGGGAGACAGGGGAGTGCATTGGTATGAAAATCATCGCGCTTTTAACATAGCAAGTGGTTGTACCTGAAATGCGTATCGGTGTATTACTACGAATGTTGAAAAATACCAGCCCTTTTTCTCTTTCAGGAAAGTGATCTTAACGTAGTTTTCTCTTGACATTTTATGTTGTGTAAAATATAACAAATCATAAAGCATTAATTTATTTACAACTTATGCAAGTTTAAGTTGC